CCACATTTTCATTAATAAAATAAAATAAATAAATGCATATATTAACATTAAAATAAAAATATTTATATTTATATATCGTTTTTCATGGATTCTAATTCAGATGGTTGACTTTATCTGTAAGAAGTCAGGACTGGTTTAAACTAACGGAAGAGCTCGATGACCGCGTGGATGACGGTTAGATCACATGCTTTGAGTTCATGTGATCAGTTCACGTGCTTTCAGGAGTAAATAAAAGCTGAAAGGGGCCGTTTTTAACGCCCGAATACTCTTTTGTACTTACGTTAGCCGGCTGAGGTTGGGGACTTGGAGCTGTAGAGCTGATCAAACTCATCGGTTGAAAAACATACTGCCGGTAAATATTTGTTGTTATTTATTGTTTTCTTCAGATTTTAGCCGCTACATCGTTTACACGGAGAGCTGACCGCTAGCTAAATCGGTCACATAAACTCATAGAAACCAGGTTTTAAAAAGGCCAAGTATAGCTCATATTTTCATCACTAGTCGTCACCAATAACATGCTAAAACCGATTTTGAGCTTCTGGGTGCCAGTTAGCTTATTTGATTGCATGGATTGAATGTTGTTTATGACTGGGTGCCCCGTTTTAGCTTCACGGTCAGATGTTTTGAAACGGGTGAAGCCATTTCCCCCCCCAAAGAAACACACATGACTTATTCTTATCATTCGTTATTGATTATTCTGTGCGTTTTGGTATAGGCAGGCAGTATTTCGATAACATAAAAAGGGATTTTGGGGGGTTAGAATATTGTGTAATATAATCCTGAATTCAGTCGGGGAAATGGAAAGTGAAACTGTGTTTCATAAGAGCGTCCTCTGAGCCATCCTTTTTCTTTCAAAAAGAAGAGGAAAAAAACTGGAAACAAATTATATACTGAAGCTTTGTTTAGTTAGTTGTGAACATGTGAGCTGCAGACAGAGGCTCCCAGGTGGAGGGGTTAACCAGAGAGAAGTGAAATTATTCTAAGGACTATAGCGGTGTATTGTTCAGAACAAAGAAAGGTTTACTTCTACTGTCACGTACCTCAAACACCTCAGCGTTATAGGAAGGAATAAGGAAGTGATCAAGAGTAAAGTATGTAGTCCGATATGTTTGTTACCACACCTTGTGGGCATAAAACTGTGTGACAAAATTTAAAGGAAAAACCCACAACTTTTGCTCCCCCACTAGTGTGTAGATCTGGTGGCTCAGTTATCGACAGGGAAAAACTACACAAACTAGTTGTAACTGAACACCTTTATACTATGATGAAATGTTATCCTATAATTTCCTTCCAGGAAAGCAATGCCCCTGTCAGATTGTTTGAATATGAAAAACATGAGTCGTATGCTTTGACCTCCAGTAAAATCTCGCTATGTCAACAGCCGTGGCAAGTTTTGGACCTGCACACTTTAAACAGTAGGAAATGAAATACTATCTTTTGAAAGGGTGTCGAGGTACACTAACTATTCCAGCAGCTTGGTAAAAGGACCTTAAGAAGGCCATAAGTTTTTTGTTTTTTTTAAGTTTAAGTAGACAAGAGGGAGCATAAATAGTTTCAAATGATTGAATTGCCTTCAGAGGTTGGTTCTTATCTAAAAGGAACATAAGAAACTGAAGAAAAGATTTAGAAACTAAAGTTCTCCTTTCTCCTGTATGCCTTTCGATGGCTTTGGCTTTGACTCATCAGTTTTTTT